GTCTTCTGCAGTTGTACTGGGTGGACTCGGGGCCTGAGACTGCATTTTGTTCCTTCTCTTTGTCATTTTGTATACCACTGTCTTCTGTCTGACCTTTGGTGTAGAGCTTAGATAGAGTTATTACCTTAGCACCAGGTCCGGATCTACAAAGTTCAGATTCCTCCAGGTGGGTGTTGCTTGGATCTGGCTGCTGTGTTCCACTTCTTTTTGCTGCAGCCATTAGAGCTGAACCCTTTGTGTCTCTCTGGCAAGATGTTCTGCTCCTGAATGAGCTGGGTGGGTCTTGCCTCTATCCTCTTTGCAAGGAGTTCTGCTGAAGGGTTCCATGCTGGGCCTGTGCTCTGGGTCTATTCAGGATCTCATGGGCCCGGGTCATCTCACTCACTCGCCGGGCCTGCACTCTGGGTCTATCCAGGATCCTGTGGCCTCGGTCATCTCACTCACAGTACCTGCACTCCTGGTCTATTCAGGATCCAGAAGGTCCCAGGTTGTCTCACTCTGCTAGACCTGCACTCTGGGTCTATTTAGGATCCCGGGCTCAGTTGTCTCACTCACTCGCTGGGCCTGCGCTTTGGGTTTGTTCTTTATTTTTTACTCTTCACTTTGTTAACATTTTCTACAAAGAAGCAGAAAGATCTTGAGACTTTTGGAACAGCAATGTCTGGGCTTTAATCCCAAAATCTCTTACTTTAGAATTCTGTGTGTAACCTAAGCTGTTTCCTCTTCATGATTTGGGGTTCTTGTCATCATTACATATGAGAATGGATGTAAGATGATAACATCATACCGTAGTCATTTGGAATTGTTTATTAGGAGAACAAAGTGGTGCCCAGACAGGTGGCCAGGCTGCTCAGGTTTGGATGCCAACTACACAGCACTACAGGTTTGCCTCCTCATTTTTATTTATTTATTTAGTGGTACCAGGGATTGAACTCAGGAACTTCTGCTGGCCCAGCAGGTGCTTATACCTGCTCAGCTGTCTCCCTGATCCTTGGTATGGTTTTTTGAGACAGGGTCTTTCTGCATAGCCCAGGCTGGCCTGGAACTCATAGTGATCCTTCTGCCTCAGCTTCCTGATTCCTGGGCTTGTAGGCATGCACCACCATGCCCTCTGCCTTTTCATCTTTATGATGATAACATGACAGGTCCTGTACAGGTACAGGTGAGACAGGTTATACTTGAAGTGTTTTTCATTAAAATGAAAGAGGTTAGTAGTTGTCCTCTTCTTACTCATCAAGAGGAAATTAGTTAAAACCGCAAGCATAGAAATGAAGTGTAGAAAATGAGGACAGTAAAAGAAACAACAGATTTACTAGAAGTAAGTAGCCAGTAGCCAGAAAGAGAAGGCAGAGGAAGAAATGTGGCCCCTCCCCGCTCCATTCAATGTGTGCATTCTCACTGTTGTACAAGTTTCGGATTTGATAACCAAGGATGCCTGACGACCTGCAGGAGCATGGCCTGATTTTCTTCTGTAATTTATGGATGGCATAATTATAAATCATCACCTTGGCTTTTCGCTTTTACTATGACTTTTTAACCATAGTATTTTGGAAGGAAATATTGATTTTCCTGGTTTTAGCTGAGTATACAACACTCATCAGGCCACAGTGAACTGTGTTCTTAGAGACATATTTAAATAAGCAGCAGACCCTAGGTAAGGTTTTATTGACTAAAGCTTTGTAAGTGAGAATTGATATCATTGCAGGAGAACAATCTTGGGCCCATATCAAATTTTCATTTTTAATGTGTGTAGTGACCTGATTTTATATATTTAAATTAGTGGACCAAACAAAATACAGATTGTAAGCAAGGCAGAAGAGAAATAAATAGGAAACAGGGAGATGTTCAGATACTTCCCCAAAGTACTATTCCATTGTTTTAGAAATATGTCAGTATGTGCTAATTTGTTTTATTTATACTACTGGTCTTGGTTCTTTGAAGAGAAAGTTTGAGCTGTCTCATTTTTGTAAGAATCTTTTGAGTTTATGTCTCATATTGAATAACTGCTTTGAAGACAACAGTACACAACAAGATAACCAGTTGTAACTATCTTCTTCGATTATGAAATTATATTTTTCATAAACAAAGACAAAATAATCCAAAGAATGTACACTCATGAAATTCTTATGATTTGCATAAGAAGGATCATCTCCAAATTTTGTTTGTAAGATTTCATTTTAAAAAGAATGAATTTATTTATTCTGTAATTCTTTAACAAGGAGGAGTAGTTTCTGCTGCAGACTAATCTGTGGTAGCTCATATAACTGCAGACGTGGGGAAACCAACCGGGAAACATGCATGGACCCCAGGCAAAACACTATTTATTGCATTTTGTCCTTCCTGTTTCCAAGGAAAGTTCAATAATAGCTGATTAATTAATATTACTGAAAATGTTTTCACAGTTCAGCAAGACTAACGTATCTGATTTCTTTCCACAGTCTTCATGAATGCAGCAATTCCCATAGCGGCTGTCCTTGCTGTAAGATGCCTTTCGTTGCTTTTAGAAATGGAGCCAAGTCAGTGTGTATAAATGATTTATGAGACAGAATGTGTGGGTGGTAATATAGATTGCTTCGTTTCTGCTGTTCCTCCTCTGAAATTTTTCTAGCCCAGGATTTCTCTTGACACTACAAACACCTTGGCCAGATAGCTTTTTAATCATCAGGGGTGTTGTAGCATTAGGATATTGTCCAGTCTCCATGTCCTCTATCTACTATCAGTCATGATGATGAAAAATAATCTCCAAATGCTGGCAGATGTACCCTGGGAGAAGAACTAAGAGCGGTTGAGAATTAACTGTTTTAATCTCAATGACCTGTTTCCCATACACCATGTTTTTACAACTTTGTACTAGATCAACAACTAGAAAATATGAAATAATTAGGTTATATCTTGAGCTAAAATGACAAACCCAGCCACTGACATTATATTTAGAAATGTGCATAAATCTTCACATTTCTGCATGTAGTTTTAGTAACCTGTACTAGGGACACTGAAATAGCAGAACATTTTCTTTTCTCTTAGAATATTAAAGTACTGTTGATTGCAAAGGTCCTGACTGGCCCGCAGTTAATGACTGGGAGTTCTTCTCCCGCTCAGTAATTTGACAGAAGTCAGTTTTTTATTCTGCAACTAGAATCTGTCTTGACTTTCTTAGCAGTTTACTGCTAACATGGCTCATCAAGCATTAGGACGCACCAATAGTATTGTTTTGGGGAAGGAGTTTGCGATAAAGGAATTGTTTACATAGTTGCAATGGACATATTATCACAAAGGGAACTGCTAGAGTTGTGAAAATAAACTTACAGACTTTCTTTGGCTCTTTTTAAAGCAACCCTTTCTTTGCACAGACATTTGTGACGCATGCGTATGCCAGTGGCCACAACCTCAAGCCCGCAGAGGCCTTTGCCTCCCTGTCTCTCTTCCACATTCTTGTCACCCCGCTGTTCCTGCTGTCCACCGTGGTCAGATTTGCAGTCAAAGCCATCATAAGGTATGCATAGAAATCTCTGCAGTGTTTTTTTACTGAATGCAGAAATAATATGTGTCCTATTGTTACATTTGGAAAAGTATAATAAAGAACTTTTATAATCATTACCCAGAGATGACCATTGTAAAAATTTTGGCAGCTGAACATTTAGTCCTTTATTTCACATAAAAATAATTATTGAAAAGGAAGGTGTTAAATTTATGTAGCTATTGACTGCCTAGTTCGCCTCTTGTTTTTCTTATTTTCTCTTCACTGCTGGCCATGAGATAGTCCGTTGTTTGGAAATATATTAATTTTTCTATTAATTGATTTTTTTATTGGATATTTGTAGTGTTTCTGTTTTCTACTTAATATACATAGTAATAAAGTAAATATCTTTGTTTTTCTTGTACTTTTTTCTCATGGCTTCCATAGGTTTGATGCACAGCTTAAAATCCTTGATGAATATAGTGAGATGCTTTCTACCAATGTAGTGGAAGGTCAGACAGTATCTATGTGTTGAGTTTATTTACATGTTTTGTTTTTCTGTTTTTTGTTTTGATTTTTGAGATAGAGTATTGCCATGCAGTTCAAAAGGCTGGCCTTGAATTCACTATGTTGCCAAGGCTGGCCTGGAACTCACAGTGATCTTCCTGACTCAGCCTTCCGAGTATGGGACTTCCAGGCATGTGCCATCATGCTTGACAATGTTATGGACATAGTGCTTTCTACTGAAACATTGCCAATTTATATGTGCATCATCAGTGACAGGGAATCGTTACACCAACATGTGAAGTTTGTTATAAATTTAGTCTAGCCTGCAAAAAGAAAATAATATTTAAAATCAGTCCCTGAAAATGGAGAAGCTTGCAAAGAATTCTACTATTTTGCTCATTTAAATAACTTCTATAAGAGCTGGGGAAATAACTCAGGAGAGTAGGTGCTTGCCTGGCAAGTGCAAAGTCCTGAGTTCAATCTCTAGTACTGAAAAAAAAAAAAAAAAAAAACCCCTTCTGTAGTGTTTCAATCACTATACACTTTGTTTCATCTAAATTTCCCGTAATATACAGCTATCCAATAGATGTGATGTGACAGGACTCTCTCTCCACCATTTCTATGAGTATAGTATCAATATGTTACCAAGCCACATCTACTACATTGTATTACCATAGTCTACCTGTGTCTTAGAACTTACTGAAAACAAGGATATCTTAAGTAATATTTTGCTTTTGGCTACCTGATCTCTACAAACCTTGTACAACCTCAATATGTTTCATGGACCGTCATCCTCATGTGTATTTGACCTTTGAAACAAATGTCCAAAGGTTGCGCCGCTAAAGGAAAGTTGAAAAACTCATGCCTTAATTACATGAAATACAATGTTGCTACTGACAGCAATCTAGAACTTGTGCAGTAATGTCTTAAAAAGACATCATTTTTCCTGTATCTTTGTATAATGAAAAACTCTTATTTAAAATTTGAAGCCCCAGAATCTCAAGTTCTAGTCAATAGTTGGCATTGACTTACCAATGGCTTAATGTCAGATAAAATTAAAATGCATAAAAATTATCCTGCTGCAAATGGATTCTCCTAGGACATGATGGTGTCAGAACACAGCTCTGATCCCGCTCTCTGAGTTAGGTCATTAGTAGCATTTCGGAAGCTTGTTTCAGTTTAAAGCTCAGGCCCTCTGGCCTCATCTGCCCTCAGATTTTGTTCTTATTGTTCTGCCTTCTGAAGCTAACGTGCACTGCACCGTGCAGCACCACTTCCAAATTAGGCAGTGCTTTGGAAGGGGCGATGCTTCAAACAATAAAAGTGATAAATGGCCAGAGCCTGCTATTTTGGTCCTTGTTTTCATTTTCCACATTTAACAGCTATCCCTTTCATGGTTGCACTGTTAACTGGAATGTGATTTTGCACTGCAAGTAGAGATAAAAAGCAGTGGATAGTTTTAAGCAAATAATTCTTCTGAAATCAGGAGGTTACCAAACATCAAAGGCACTTTCAGTGAGTTTGGGAAAAAAAAAAAAAAAAGATAACAACTTAAGGATTTCCCCCAAATCCATAGTACATAGTTTTACTGTAGTACATCCTAGGATAGCTGAGGGTGGATAAAAATCCCCTGTGGATTTCTGCATCGCACTCTCCTTTCTGTACATTTCAGGGAAAATCCATTTGCCAGTTTGATAAAGACCAGTCTGTTTGTAGGGCTCCGTTCCAGTTTTCCCAAGCCATAGGCCAAGTAGAATCTGCTTATAAAAACTTGCTTCTCTAAAATGACTCCCAGCAGTTGATTTGCTGGTCCTACAGAGACAGCCAGGCAAGAGAGGAAGCCAGTTATTTTTCCCACTGTGTGCTGGTTCTGGGAACCCAAGTAAGCATTTTCCCAGTCTTGACTGGGCTGGACATTTTTTCCCTTGCCTGGGAACCTTGACCAGCCTTGGGTGCCAGTTGGCCTCTAGTGAGTTGAGTAGCTGGTTTATAATCAGAGGCTTTGGTCAGCTGATTTTGAGATCTCCTTTTCAGCACTGTGGAAGTCAGAAGTTTTTCATTGCATGCTTAAATGCATTCAGGAATTTGGTGGGTTAGACTGGGCTGAAGCATAATCCCATATACGATTATATGCACCTAGGAAATTTGGAGCCTTCCCTCCTAGAGGAAAACTCCACGCCATGTAAAATTTTCTGCTCTAGGAAAGTTCTGTCTTTTCTTTAGAAAAGATTTGGATCATTAGCTAAAGTCTTTGTGGTATTCCTTACTTGGAATTTATATATGTATATGTATGTATATATGTACAATAGGTTATGTATAATAACATATATCTTACAATTACATGTACTATAGAAAATGCAATATAATAAAATGTGCAAAATATTATTTAATAAAGAAATATGAAACAGAATATATTGGATATACAAATAGAAAAATAAATATATAAAAATAATAAATATCGATGTAAAATATCCCCCATATATTTTATTATGTACATCTATCCAATGAATACCATAAAAAGCCTGAACCCTATCTGTTGTTCTTTTTTTTTTTTTTTTTTTTTAGGGAAGGGTATATAGGGTGTTCAGGGTCTCACTACTAGATGGGATTCATAGTGATCCGCCTGTTTACCTCCTCCCAAGAGCTGGGATTACAGGTGGGTGCTACCACGCCCAATCTCAATTGCTGTCTCAGCACTCCCTGGGGGCAGGGCTAGCACAGCAGTCCTGGGGATCAAACCCCCGGCCCCTGATCCTGCTTGCAGGTGCTTTAATTGGCTGAGCTACTTGGCCGGCCCCCATATCTGCTCTTCCCTCCCAGCTTGAATGCTATTGGCTTCTTGTGTCCCCATAGCCCCTGGCACCCCATATCATTTGTGCTTCCTGAGCATTCTATGGTAAAACGACGCAGTCTATATTTGTAAAACAGAGAGAAGAAAAGCCACTGTCCTTTAGAAACTTAAATACTTAAGTAAGAGTGGGTTCCCCCCAGCCCCTAGGATGCTTACCTTACTTCTCCACTTTGCTTTATTAGGAAATAATTTAAGTGTTTTGTATTTCTAGAGAAGATTTTGTATTTCT